AAATATCGTGATATAATTTTGAGGCTATATCGCCCACCCCTACTGAAAACATGCACATGAACTTAAAAGTTTGCATTTTCTGGCACCCAAAACTCTGTGTAAACACCCCTTATGCCACAAATGTAGTTGAGAGACTTGTATTGAACCTGCAACATTCATTTCCATACATAGGCACTTAAATCCTCTTTGTACATGCTATTTCAGTACATGTGTGCTGTCCTCTGATCATTCAGACTATCTGTGTGTGCTGGATGAATGGGCTGTCAGCGGTATGTTGGACCTCTGTCGTGGGCACAGGATCTTGAAGAAGGCTCTTCGGAAGCTGCTGTGGCACAGCGGGTACAGGAACGGGTTGATTGCTGAGTTCAGCCACAGCAACCAGAACGTCACCTCATACCAGTGATGCGACACGCAGTCTCCTCTGCACGCCGCTCGCACGATCATTAACAGAGTGTATGGTGCCCAGCACACCGCAAAAACACACACGATTATGGCCAGAGACTTAGCAATCTTCTTGTCCTGCCTCAGACGCGAGCGCTGGACGCACCGCATCGACAGACCGTTGTTCTCCGAGCGCTTCTCGCCGTCTGCTGCGCTTTTCTTGTTGAGCATCATGGAGTTCCAGCAGATTCGGACGCTCATGCGTGCTTTCTCCCCGTACAGATTTGTAGCGTCCTGGCTCTTTGGAGAAGAGGATTCTTTCTTGCTGCCGAGTCTCCTCTGACGGATGCTGAGGTAGATGCTGATGTTGAAGAACGCCACGGATAAAAACGGTGAGAAAAACTCTACCACTGAAGCAGAAAGCAGGAAGTGCCAGGTGTAGTAGAACTCAGCGAAGCACTCGTCATCTGGCACGCGGCTCTTGCCTGTCAGCTGCTCCCAGAATAAGATGGCCGGTCCATAGAGGAGGAAGGCCAGAATCCAAACCGCTGCTATCTTCACCACCGCAAAGTGGGCCATTCCTTGTTTGGCACGATAAGATACCTAGGATCAGGAAAGAAAACAATGGAAAAATTGCATTTAATTGGCAGAAAAAATGTAGAAAAGAACTACAGAGATGCATGCATATAACCACATACTGAGCCAAAGAGTAACAGTACATATATCTGTTATTATGGTTAGATTGATCTTAGAATGCTGCAAATCATCCTTGGATAACTGATGAAAGTAAACTTTGGCTGTCAATAATTTGTGATTAATCTCATATTTTTTTATTTTATATATTAACACATTAAATATATTTTTAGGAAAAAGAAATAACAATGCCAGAAAACCTTAGGCAAACAGTGCACTTTGCTTCTCTGCATTTTAAGAGAAATATTCCAAAGCAGTTGTCCCAACTCTTGTTTATTTTTTGTTACTTAAGATTTTTATAAGTGTCTTATGCTCCCTAAAACATTAATATTGTGAACAATTATTACAAATGGAAATAGCTGTTTTCTATGTGAATATACTGTAAAATCTAATTTATTTCTGTGATCAAAGCTGAATTTTCAGCACCATTACTCCAGTCTTCAGTGTCACATGATCCTTGATCCTGATTTGCTGCTCAAGAAACATTTCTGATTATTAACAGTGCTGAAAACAGTTGTGCTGCTTCATATTTTTGTGGAAATTGTGATACATTTTTCCCCCTGTGGTTTTACTGTAAGTACTACAGTTGAACTATGGTTGCTGTAGTAAAAACATGGTTAATTTTTGTAATGGACTGACAGGATGTTGCACCCCTAAAGGTATAAATTTTGCTCTTTTTTTGTCCTCACAGTATATGATTTATTAACAACAACTAGAGAACCGGAACATGATCCATTTTAACTTTTAATGTTCAATTTAAAAAAATTTAATCATACAACCTTAACATAATACATGTTACATGTACACTTTCCATTTGTTCATTGTGAAATAATTGTACTGGCCCTGTGTCCATCTTGTTTCCCTGTCTTTGGCCTGAGTTGCTGGAAAAGGCTCCAGCATCCCTGTGACCCTACAGGACAAGTGGTTTAGAGAAAGGGTGTATCGTAGAGACTAGTGGTGAGAATGGTGTCCTATGTATTACTTATGATCATATGCTCATTATGCTCTGGGGAACACAGCCCTGTTTGGATAAACGCTGTGAATGAGGCATCAGATGAGCAGGAGTAGTAGTTTTATCCTACACAATTTTTCACTAACGTTTATGTTTCCACTTTAAAGCTTTTTATGCATTAAAATGTATGTTAAATAAAAAAAATGAATATGACTGGTAATTGTATTGTTTGCTGCACCAGAGGGTCACCTTACTAAATCAATACTTACTAAATAAATTGCCTGGAGCAGTTCTTGAGTTAGTTAACACTTAGATAGTTAAAGTGCCCCAATTATGGATTTTTGAAAATTACCTTTCATGCAGTGTGAAACACAGCTGGCATTACAGTCAGGCATGATGAAATGAAAATGAGACCAATCAGACCAATCACCGCAGGTTAGCGTCACGCAAAGGAGCAGTTTGGAAAAATGAATTGTTGAGCAAATCGTTTGGGAGTCGTTGAGCAAGTAAGGTAAAAATAAATGCATATTATAAGACAATGAAAGTGTTTTTTGACCTTGCATGCATGTCAACCTGTTGTTGAGGACTCAAAATATGAACCTTTCATAACCCAATAGGGGCACTCAAATATCACACATAAATACAATGAAATATCCCAACATAGAAGCCAATGTTTCCAATGAATAATACATTTAAGTTGTACTGTAAGATGCATGGCACAATTGTTCAATCCACAGTACTTGCCATTAATTCTATTATCTGCTAAGAAATGTGGTTGTTTTACCAGCCTTTTTTCATTATTCACTTGTACTACTACAACACTAAAACAAAATGTTAATTTCAGATGGGAAAGCTCGTTAGTTACTGCTGTGTTTAATTGCCATCCTTCAAATGCTGTAGTTGTATGGCGACTCAAATGTGAAACTAATGTGATGATAATCATTTGACAAATTGATAAAAAATCGATAAATTAGCTGAAAAAAAATCAATCAATAAAGCAATAAAGCAACCAATTATCAAGATTTGAGAACTCATTGACTACTAATTAAAAACCAACTCTTGGCATAATTAATTTCAAGACAACGAAGTGTGGTATTGCTCCACTGAACCGTACACAAGCTGTACATGAAAACGCAGTGGGGAATGAAGACAAACACTTTCTTTTGCTGGTACACACATATCCGAGCATGTGTGCGCCGTCATAGTGCTGCCAATGATAGCAGGGATCTTTCCTCCTTCACTTTGATTGAAGCTGAAGCCGCAGTCTGTGAGATCAAACATGGCTGTCTTGCAGATTAAAGGCATACGTTACGTATTGCGATTTATGTTCGTATCATTGCTCTGATGTTAAGAGCTTGTGTGGGAAAACAAAACCAGACATTTTCAAGGACGCTTTCTGACCTGAGTCTAAACAAACATCAGAGAAAGCTTTGAAGTAAATATTCCACAATATTCTGTTAGTTACTGCTGTGTTTAATTGCCATCCTTCAAATGCTGTAGTTGTATGGCGACTCAAATGTGAAACTAATGTGATGATAATCATTTGACAAATTGATAAAAAATCGATAAATTCGCTGAAAAAAAATCAATCAATAAAGCAATAAAGCAACCAATTATCAAGATTTGAGAAAAAGATTGAGTTTAGTATTTATTACTATTCAACTCATTGACTACTAATTAAAAACCAACTCTTGGCATAATTAATTTCAAGACAACGAAGTGTGGTATTGCTCCACTGAACCGTACACAAGCTGTACATGAAAACGCAGTGGGGAATGAAGACAAACACTTTCTTTTGCTGGTACACACATATCCGAGCATGTGTGCGCCGTCATAGTGCTGCCAATGATAGCAGGGATCTTTCCTCCTTCACTTTGATTGAAGCTGAAGCCGCAGTCTGTGAGATCAAACATGGCTGTCTTGCAGATTAAAGGCATACGTTACGTATTGCGATTTATGTTCGTATCATTGCTCTGATGTTAAGAGCTTGTGTGGGAAAACAAAACCAGACATTTTCAAGGACGCTTTCTGACCTGAGTCTAAACAAACATCAGAGAAAGCTTTGAAGTAAATATTCCACAATATTCACTGCTCTATGAATCACTGTTCCCGGGGCAATTCAGGATTTTCTTTAGTTAGACGGATTTAACCCCACAAAAAAGACTTGGGAAGATCATCTCATGCAACATCCATTCAAAAATGGCTTTTGGTCCAAATTAAATAATAATAAAAAAAATCCCAGCCCACCTGTTCACACCTGTTGCTGCCTAATACACTTGAAGTTACTTTGCATCACTGTTAATGTAATTATTAGTGTAGACATTTTTATTGGAGAGTTAATAATACGTATATGCAATTAAATGCACTAATAATAATAATTTATAAAATATTATATACAATCCCAATTCCAGAGAAGTTGGGACATTTTGTAAAATGCAATAAAATCAAGAATCTGTGATTTGTTAATTCTCTTTAACTTTTATTTAATTGACAAAAGAGAAAAGATTTCCAAAGTTTTCACTGAACAACGTAAATGTATTTTGTAAATATGAACAAATTTGGATTTTGATGGCTGCAACACACTCCAAAAAAGTTGGGACAGAGGCATCAGCGGTCCTTTTAATTACAGTGTTTAATTGTTTAGGAATTGAGGATACTAATGGTTAAAGTTCTGCAAGCAAAATTGTTGCCCAATCTCGCTTGATACAAGACTTCAGAAGCTCAGCAGTCTGTGATTGTTGTTGTCCGAGTCTCCTTTTCACGATGAGCCATACTTTTTCAATAGGAGACAGATCTGCTGGCCAGTCTAGCACATTCACTCTGTCTACGAAACCATGCTGTTGTAGCACAAGCAGAATGAGAGCTGGCATTGTCTTGATCTAATAACCATGGACTTCCCATGAAAGACATCATCTTGATGGCAGTATATATCTCTGTACAATCCCAATATATGCCTCCATGTCAATAGTACCGTCGCACATATGCCAGTCACCCATGCACTCATATACCATGACAGAAATTTGCTTTTGCCTCTGTTACTGATGAAAGTCTGGATGGTCCTTTTAGTCTTTGGGACTGATAACTCGCCATCCATTTTTCCCAGAAACAAGTTGAAATGTGGACTTATCTGAGTACAGCACGCATTTTCTTTTTGACTATCTGAGATGAGCTCTGGCCCAGAGTATCCGGCAGCATCGCTGCATACACTCTAAAAAATGCTGGGTTAAATATAACCCAGCGCTGGGTTAAAAAGCGACAAACCCAGCTATTGGGTTGTTTTGACACAGCGGTTGGGTTGTTTTGAACCCAAAACATAGCTTTCTCCTAGAGTAACAGATATTCAAGTTGCATTTCTTGATGCAGCAGCAGACTGTGGTAAATGACAGTGGTTTTCTGAAGTACTCCTGAGCCCATGTGACTATATTTAACACCGCAGCATGACCGTTTCTTATGCAATGCCATCTGAGGGCTCAAAGGTCAAGCTCATTCAACTGAGGTTTCCTGCCTTGCCCTACATGTACTGCGATTTCTCTGGATTCCCAGAATCTTTTCAGAATATTACGCATGATACTTGGTGAATGACCTCCATTTTTTGGAAAAAATACAAATAAAAGACTAAAAATACTCAATGTAGTAATACTAATAATAATAAATACATGTTATCAGAGTCCTTGAACGCTTGTGAAAAATACAAATGTAAACCATATAAGTCATTTGTCACAGCACTTACGGGCTAAAGCACTATTTTGGTTGTGCTCCTTTAAGTACAGTGGTTTTTCTTTTGTGATGCGAGCAAAGATCAAAACCTCACAAAATAAATAATTTAAAAAGCGAATTAAAAATTCCTTTAGTTTCTCCTTTAGAGAGTTGGTGTGTTGTTGTGATCTTCATTGTCCTTTAGTGAGATAAATGAAAGCATATTGGGATAAAGGTAAATGTATTCAGTTTGCTGTCCATAATGGATCAAAATATCATACCTGCTTTCTTAATATAAGTTCTTGTATTTATTGTGCACAATTAATCAGTGCATGTTATGTTAACATGTTAATTATTTTTTTTTATCATATAGAGACCATTTTCACATTCCAATTATAAATTATGGATCAAATCTTGCAGCACCATATTCATATTAATTAATGGGTCATGGTTTAGTTTGGGGACCAATTCTCACTCTTAACTAACCATTAACTACGACTTGTGCCTCAATAAACTTCTAATCTGCTGCTTATTAGTTAGTAAGTAGTTGTTAAGTTTAGGTATGGGGTGGATTAATGCCTACAAATACGGCTGGTAGGGACTACAACAAGCTACTTCCCAGAGTGGTGACATCACACACCCTGAAATTTACATAAACCCCGCCCCCGGGAACATGCAAGAATGGGGCGTGGCCATGTTGCGCTGCTTTAGAGAAGAGGAAGAGTTGTTGCCATGCTGTCAAAACTAGGGGTGCACGAAAAAATCTATTTATATATGAATCACGATTCTGTCTTCTAACGATTCTAATGGATTCACACGTTTCAAAATCAATGTTCTAAAGCAGCGGTTCTTAATCCTGTTCCTCCCTGCTCTGCACACACTCTGCACTGCATCTCTCTCTCTCTCATTCACATCATCAGCTCCATCAATGAACTGTTCCAACTATACACTTTATGTGTATAGTCAGACAGATATTTTTTGCATAGCTACGAGAAGCGTTAAACATGAAACGTCCTGTTATAAGAGTCGTGCTGGTTCGTCGCGATCATCTTCAGTAATATCCTCTGTGTCTCAATCGGGCTCAAATTGATAAGCAATATTGATGACGCCATTGTTTACAATAAAACCGGAGCGCATTCTGAGGTGAGGGGTGTGACGTTTCTGGACTGCACTAGGCAGCACACTGAGGCCAGCTGACCAATCTGAGCCCATCGTGTATTTCTGAGGGAGGGGCTTCATAAAACCAGGAAATCATCAGAGCGTTCATAGGAGAAGGGACAGAGCGGTGTAGAATAAAGGTAAATTATGTGAAAAATAATGTTTTTTTTAAATGAAGCATTAACACATGTTAGACTGCACCCCATAAACACAATCAAGCCTAGAAAAAAACAGTGAACCACCTCTTTAAAAGTGTGAACTGGTCTTTAATATAGTGTTACCATCCAACGGAAATCTAAGCAAACGAAATGTCCATGCTTCAAAAAGTTCATTAAACCACTCAATTCATATGGATAAATTTTATAAATGAATCCATATAAACTGAGTGGTTTATTCAAAGCCGTTTAAAGAGATAAAACGGCATGATGAACAGATTTAATTAAGGCTTTTATCAAACACTGATCAACTCACAAATATGGAAGCTCAACAGTACTTCTTTGATGCACGTGGACCAATGAGGTTTAATCATGTGTCTACAATGCATGGTTTATCTGTTAGCCAGTGAGGTGCATAGTGTGAGCCCATCGCTTCCTGACATATAATCTGTCAGCCAGTGATCTTGCATGCAGATTTTTAAATCAGGGTTCTTCAAATCTGGACCTCAAGGTCCCAACCCAAATCATTACCCCTCAACAAGCCAATCAGGGTCTTAAGGATTACTAGAAAATTGCAGATAGGCAGGTTTGATCAGGTTTGGAGCTAAACTCTACAAGACCGTGGAACCCAAGGGCCAGATTTGAAGAACTCCATTTTTTTACCCTATTTTAGACTTTGTTCAGTGTTGCTGCAAGCTGATTCACTACAACACGCCACAGAAGTTACTCTGAATGCTTTGTTTTTTAAAACTTTTTAAGGACCAGTGGAAACCCGGAAGCCATGCAGATGGTCAGTGGTAAGTCTACCATCCATTCAGCCCACTGATGAAGTGGAGAGGCCTTTCTCTTGGGTACGACACTTTTGGAACTCTTGAGAGATGATACCCTTTATCATTAGACCATGATCTCAAGCATTTCATGAGTGCCATACACATTCCCAGGATGGCACTGACCCATTAACCCATGCTTAATTCACACAAGGGAGATGCAGTTTGAAGGGTAAGACAGAACAGGTCCTTTATTTATATACAGGTTATTTCTTTCTTTATTTATTTCAAGTGCATTATCCATGATTAACAGGTTTATCACCTTCAACAGTCTATAGCCCATGAATTAGCCACCTGAACCATGTGGAGAATTATCATTGAGGGGAAATTTTTACCTCATCACAGATGTTCTGCAGTGTAACAGAAACCAAGGAAAAAATAGCTTTGCCAACCCCAACACAGAACAAAAACTATACACCAATGCATGATGCATGGGATTTAGCAT